CCCCCCCCCCCCCTCCCCTCTCAAAAAAAATATGCAAATTTGTTTAGCGGAAAACGACTTCACGAACTAGGCAAGATGCAAAGCTGAAACTTTGCAAGGATATTCCCTGTGTGTTTGGGAGCTGAAGATTTCAAATTCAGCTGCCGCACAAGTTTGCGTAGCGCGTACGGCCATGTCAAAGTTTACGACTTGGTACTATGCTAACTTTAAAACTTGCCGGAAAACAGTAGTTGAAATTTTATAAGGATATTTGTCTCCGGTAGAGAAAATAGTATACCTGAAATGAGTACCGGTTTGCACTTGCGCCACGACTTAGGAAACTCAAAGAAATTTGTAGCGAAGTGGATATTTCGCTTGCCAGATAAGCTGCGAGGCTGAAGATTCGCTGGGACATTCTACTTTCAAATTGGTCTTAATTCTACTTAGAGGTGGAATTCACTTCAGGTAAGCGTGAGAAATACTTGATTTTACCAAAAAATCAGAAACGAGTGCGTTTTGCAGCGAACGACCGCCCTCATCCAAATATGTAAATGAACATTATTTCATTTGCATATTCGGATTTTTTCATAAAAGACCGCTCGAGCAATACTTCCACTTTTTAGTGAACTGGAAATTTGCATTTTTTCAAAAAATTTGCATTTTCATTTTTTAAAGAAGCCAACATCCACCCAGAAAACGACTGAGCTTTATGTAAAAAACTGGTAATCATATACCTGCAGGTTCATGCGGCTCTGTAACGTAACACCCTTATCCCAACCAATGCCCCACATTGCTGCATGCCGGAAGAAACCAAAGCATGGCCAATACAAGCCCAAGTGTTTGTCCGCTGCGTAGCGATTATTTCTGCTATCAGTGACCTGCGAAATTAGTGCAAAAACGGCCTGGTGCGTTCCACTCTGGGTATTAAATATTTCACATATCAATTGTTATAGTTAACAGTGATTATACCGCTTTCTTCACACTTTTCAAAGTACCAATGAATTTTTACTGTTTGGAAGTCGGCTGGAAAAAATGAAAAATGATTTTCGAAGTTGCTAAAACATTTCAGCGTTGTAATAAGTGATTCCTTTCTATCCTCCAGCTCGAATTCTCTCTAAGCTATCAAGCCGTGTTCTCCTCCTGCTCATTTCGCCACTGTATCATGTCGATAGTTTCTTTTTTCTGGTTGTAGTGATTTTGAGATGCAGGTCTTTGGAGAATGCATGGAAAAAACTGGACGGCAACTTGGCGTTTGACACCGAGGGAGAAGGCAGTGCGAGCAGCGGCTATTTTTTGGTGCCTACTGGAGCGTCTCTGGAAATGGATGTCTGGATGAGGTCAGCTAATGTAGTAGTGGTCAGTGTCTTTGAAAACGACAGGCAATGTTTGTTAGCTCGCATGTCTTATTCAAGCGCTTCAATAAGCTCCTGCACAGAAGCAGTAGTACAACCAAGATTCTTTTAAGAGGGAGACTTTCTAAAAATGTCAGATGAGGGAACTTGCACCTTTTTGCATTATTTTAAAACAACAAATTCTGAAATTACTTTTTTGCTCAGTGCTTGAAAACCAGCATCATTTTCAGTTGCTGGAGCACAAAAGGGCACCAACTGCTTTCCCGTCCTCTCTTCGTCGGTCACGAGTAGCGTTGAGCTGAACTGCGCAGTAAGCTTTCATTAAAAAAAAGGCCTGATAACATTTTTGTTGAATTAGTCGAAGAAGCGAACAGAAACTTTTCGATCAGCGTAATACTGCTCAGTCGAAATAACACTGTTTGTTACATCAGCCACTGCTGGTAGTAAACGGTGGCCTTTTACGCTTTTCACGGCCTATCTCAAGATGTTATTTCGTAAGTTACGGCTAACACTTAAACCACTTATCTGCGCGGACGATACAGCTCTTATTACTAGCAGTTTCCTTGAAATGGGCAATATGCTGCAAGAGCCCCATGTGTACGCAGCGAAGAAGTAGGCCTGAAAATCAACACATCGAAAATAAAGCTGATCCAGAGTGCTGGAGTGCTTGCTATCTATCTGCAACTGGGTGGTTATGACTTGGGATTGTCTTTCTGGTTATGGTTATGACTTGTCTTTCTAGTATTGGCTCTACTCTAATTCTTCAAATCAGATCTTTTGTTCGTCACAAAAACCGTAATGAAAAAACTGACTGAGGCGTCTTATGAGATCTGGGTTTGGACCGCGCATTCTAATATTCATT